TATATATACATATATATATAAAAAGAAATTAAATCATTTTTATTTTAACTATAATATATTTCGATATTTTTGAAAATCCCTATTTGATCACGGTACTTTAAATGTATATAATAAACCAAAAATTCAATCCCAATAACAGGATCTGCGAAAAAATGAACTCATTCCCGAGAGTAGAAAAATTCAAATTCTCGCCTCCACAGTAACCTCAATGAATGACCAACGGGCAGAAATGGGCCAGTGCATAACTAGCACAAACAGAGCTTTCTTCTCCCTTTCAAAGATATTGATATCCCGAAAAATCTAAAGAAATCTCAAACTAAGGGTGTACAATACTATTATAAAGCCATTTCTAATAGTCGCTGTGAGATCTGAATACAGTTAGCTTAGAGCACCCTAAAGTATTGAAAGATTTAAGAGAAAAATCCTCCACACGATAAGCGAGCGGGAATCAGAGTATTACCATATGAAGAACAAAGACCGATAAATAACTGCTTACAGAAATTGGGCAATCAATTTCACTGAGGTTAAGATGGGCGTGGCATGTGGCTCGTAGCAATCCATCTGCAAGCCTCTACGTAACAATGAATGCCTCAATAGAAGGCAAAAGACCATGTGGAAGACCAAAAAGCAGATGGATAGATAGATGCAATAGAGCTGCGTGAAAATAACTGGAAAGAATAGCCTAAGACAAATAAAGATGAAGCAGGCTTGGTAAGGCGGCAAAAGATCTACATTTTCTGTAATACAAACAGAAAAAAAACGAACTTTAAATAAGCAAAAAAAAATTTGTCATTGAAACCCATTGCTTCAGAACAATTTAAAAAAAAATAAAGTATTAACATTTACAGAAAATATAAGTATTAAAAAATATATAAGGAAACTGAAATATTTAAAAAATAATAAATAAATGTATTGGTTGCATTTAGTGTTTTATTATAGTCATCGACATTGATGTCTTTAATAGTACGACCAGCTAGTACGAAGATCATGAGAAAAAAAAAGGAATATTTATAAAAAAAAAATGTGAAATGAATGAATAATAATTTTATTATGGAACTACAGTCCCATAGTCTCCTAAGAATAATAACAGAGTTGAATAATGAGGAACATTCGTCTGGTTGAGATGAATACAAAATTGTGCTTAATTAACAGTTAATTTCAATTGAAATTGTACAGTTAATTAGGCTATACAGTACACAGAATCATTCTATAAGTTTGAATATAACATACAGTGTGGATGTGGTCTTATCTCACTGTAATTATTGTCTATGTGACGGAATGTTATATTTCTCAGTAAATAAATTTTTAATAAATTGTTAGTAAGTTTGAATATGAACTAGTTTGTGGAATAGTGGTAGAAGGAATTTGCAGTAGAGGATTGAGGTATGGAGTTAAGAAGAGAGTTCCAAAAATAGGTAGCACAAACTAGGTTTATGGAAGCAGGCCATAAACTATTGTACTTCAGGTATCAGGTACCTTAATTTTTCTGAAGTTGACCTCTGAGAGCGACCACGCCATGTTCTGGGTACTGGCTACTTTGAAGGCTTAGGTTAAGGCTGCAGATAGACAAGAGTGAACTGTCCTAAATGGGTTTTAACTTACCGGTGGATTTATGTACCGCATCGATTGTCGTCTTCTATGGATGCTTTCTTTAGGCAGGCTGGCGAGTTCTGAACATTAAGTACCATTGTGCTTAAATACCCTTTTTGGATTTAAGGGAGTGAATAAGTCGTGCTTCTAAACTTTTAAGTACCTTAGTTAGTTTAATGAAAAAACGCTCTATTTCTGAGAATTTTCGTAAATATAAAAGTAGTAGTTTACGATAATATGAAGCTATTCACAAAGTTGCAGACAGATGTTAATAATTTGATGAAAAGGGTCTTTACCGCTGTCTAATAATAATCTATCTAAATGTGTTACTTTTTAAAGGTTCTTTATTTTAATTAAGACATATCTCCAATAATTCTTCATCGGATTGAGCAATGAGGTGAGAAAAAAAGGCACATCTCCAGAAATAATTAGAAATGGAAACTTTATTTGTGAATAACACAAAAAGTATTCCGGTGAAGGGAGGTGTGTAATAAGTGATTGATGGTGTAGGTATCGAACCTTCGGGTTTTATTATTATTATTATTATTGCGTATTTCCAAATCAAATTGCCTCAAGTTTACTGACCAATTTACTATGAGAATTATTCGTACAGCCCACGTAGTGTTTTAATCACTGTTAATATACCGTTAATGTGGTAGTTTTTATATTCGTGCGATAGAGATTTTAAGAAGTCCTACTCCTATTTAATTGGTATTTATGATTAAATTTTCAAATTACATTCATTTACTTTTATTTATAATGCAAATATGAATCAAAAGCATTTTTGAAGGACTTCAGACGTGAGTTAATAATAATAAAATTCGTTAAAAAACTCAGGTGGTTCTTGGAATTATACAGCATCCTGTAGTTTAAGGCCGTAAAACGTACAGTTTTCGAGATAATAAAACAATAATACATATCAATAATATGAGAAATAAACCTTTTAAGAGACATACCAAACAAAGTACAAAAAGTTTTGCGACCGTGAAAAATTTAGAATCCGATTTTTAAAAATAAAAATTGGTTTATTATTTTCAATAATGAACCATTGAAATCGATAAATTAAAAAAAAAAGATTCGGAAATTTATATATATATATATATATATATATATATATATATATATCAAATGCGAGACCGAGACGAGTCTTGGTCTTGCAAACTCAGTCTCGGTCTAGTTCTTGGTCTTGAGCAAGAGTGTCGCAACGGTCTTGCAGTTACCTATTAGCTTAGTACTATAGAGATATTACTGTATTTTTTTAGATAGGGGAAACCCGTAAACTAAGTAAGCCCGAATGAAAAATTAGAAGAGTTAAACGCAAAAGTATATTGGTTATACCAATTCTTTACATATATTATCTAAAATTGTCAAGCATTAGTACCTATTTTGCCTTAAATTTTATTCAAAAAATCATTTTTTTCTTCACCTGTCTTGATCTTGCAACAGTGAGGTGGTCTTGCTAAGGCCGATATTGGACAATACTAGAGACTATCGGACCTATTAAAAAAAAAAATTGGAATCAAAACCAGTGATCACCCGCGGATGACCCTTCCAACTTGAAATTACTATTCGCTCTTTGTTTTAAAGCTGGCGGCAGAAAAACCTGTTATTATAGACTATAGAGCCTAAAAAAAATTACCTATTTCAATAAATCTTGACTATATAACGAAGCTATATATAGATATAGCTTTATTATAACATTATAATACTATAACGTACTTCAACGAAATGAAACTGGGAAAAAAGTTATAAGGTGTGATTTTTTAGAAGATGACCAAATTCACTTAAAAATAAAAAATAATCTTGGAAATTGAACAATTTAATGTAATGATACGGTGTTTTAAATATTTTTTAAATGTTCTACTGCAAAGTGTACATCCTTTATTTTGGTTTTTGATTTTTTGAAAGTTTTATGTCAACTGAAGCAATGTTGTATATTTTTCTTAGCAAATTATTAATTATGAAAACAAAAAATCATTTTGGCAAATAATAGCAATTACCTTTATTTTCTCTTATGTTACATGGAAAGTAATGTTAATTTTGATGTAAAATTATTTGGGAATAATAAACCATTGTGTAATAATTTGCAGTGTTCTTATTTTTACTATTATTTATTTTATTTTTATTTTTCTCCTAACTCAGTTCCTTCCTATATTAGAGGTTGAAAATGGACTATTAATGGGATACGAATTACTGAGATTCGTATTACTTACTGAGGTTAGTGTTGCCCAAAATCGGTCTTGCACTTTGCAAGACCAATACCAATACCAAGGATTTTTTAAATAAACATTAAGGCAAAATACTCGACAATCTTAGTTGCTATATGTTAATAAATGGTATAACTAATATACTTTTGCACTTTAACTTCTCTTTTAGTTTTTTATGTATATAACTTATTCATTCGGAATTATTACAATCTGTCACAATTAAGGACATTTATAATAGTGTTCTGGGAGCACATTCACACTCTATTTACAATAATTAATAGAAAAAAATAAAAATAGTAAAAGCAAATTTTATAATATCAATTATACAATTAATATCATAAGTAGTATACCATAAAACTTCTTTTAATGGAATTTTATGACATTATTTTTTGGAATATTTAAAAAAGAGCTTTAAAGACGAAACGCTATAAAAACATAGGAAATAAAATTTTCTCCTCTAAAACTCCTATAATTTTTCATTTTGGCTTAGTTAGGTTTCTCTTATCCAAAAAATTACAGTAATATCTCTGTAATAATAGGCTAATAAGTAACTGCGAGACTCTTGCGCAAGACCAAGACTGAGTTTGCAAGACCAAGATTCGTCTTGGTCTCGCATTTGGACAACACTAACTAAGATATTACCGAGGTCTACAATTATTTAAAATTGTACGCTATAGAGAATTGTCCGCTATGAGAAATTTTTGGGTATGTTAGGGTACTCATCGCAATTCCATCATTGATTGATACTTAACGACACCATGTTGATATATTAATACTGGATTATTTGGCTGATTGGTCTTCGTTCCCTTGATCAACGAGACAAATTGTTATATATCACCTTTGCCGACATCCGTATCCACCGACCACAGAAAATTATATAGCAAAAACATTTACAAGTTGACGTCTGACGTCGGTAGATTTAAAACCGAAAAGGAGATCTATTGTTGTAAGTGGAACTTATTTGTTGAGAGTGTGGGCAAACAGACCACAAAGATGTTTCTATTGTACCATTTTAAAGTGACCCTGTCAACTGCTTCTAAGGGGGCCGTATATCAATCCGGGGGGGTTGTTTTGACAGGAAGGGGTAGTTTGCCCCCACCACTCCTAGGCCGGACCAATGGGAGTAGAGTTCGCCGCGCATGCGCCCCCTCTGCCACTAGGGCTGCCTTCTCCCCTAACCGGTACAGTCAGTTCAGATAGCATCAGCAACCAACATGTCGTTTTGCTCCAAACCAGATTGCTACCAGTGCCTTCCCATGTTACACATACACACAGGTGCGGATACTCTACTAGTTGGTCTTTATCTTAGTATAAGTATAATAGTTGTGTCTTAGTATTAGTTTGATAGTTGTGTCAAAGTATAAGTATTATAGTCGTGTCTAAGTGCGTTGTTTCGTTAATTGTGAACTATTATTGCGAAAGTCTTGTCTCTTTAATTGTACATAAAAGTCAAGATTTTTTTTACTTACTCAAAACCAATGTAAAATACAGCAAACTTATATATATATATAATCATATATAGTAAGGTATCTTTAGATTTTAATTTTTCAAATCATTCAAATTGAGAAAAAAAAATCGTTTAAATTTAATTCTCTATATATTAAATTCTTTCATTAATGTTTTATATATATATATATATATATATATATATATATATATATATTTTATTAAATTATTAATATATATATACATATATACTGCAAAAGTCACTAGGTATATGTTTGACGGATCAGAACTTTAAAAAATCTTTTTATGAATTTCGACCTTTAGAATGATAAAAATCTTTTGTGTACTAAACTGTGTTATTGTGAGCGCACAATTTTCTAATTTTACAAAGAGAAACTTCATTAAAATTTCTATTGATTTAATTTCAAAATTTCTTATCACTAAATGACATTTTTCAACAAATCGACGATGTATATATATATATAGAGAGAGAGAGAGACAACTCAAAAATGGATGTAAATTTGAATTTTTATATGCTGTAAGTAAATAGACTAAAAAAGATTGATAATAGACTCAATGGAATTTTTTTCAGTAATTCAAATTCACTAACATTTTAATTTGATTTTTTACATTAAATTAGTGTTCGTACCGGAAGATAAGGTATTAAAGGCATAGTGATGGTTTATTATGTGATTATTTTTTCGATTGTTAAATGTTATGTTTAGATTTTCTCAGGAATCTTAAGGTAATAAATAACCAACTATATTTAGGTGACATTTCGAAAGAAAAAATTATTTTAAAAAAACAACGTAATTTTCCAGAAAATAATGTTCTAATTATTTTTATATGTAATTCTGTAACTAAATAAATTACAAAATAATACTAACTTTAGTTAGTTTAGATAATTTCATTTACAAGGGGTACAAATTGATATTCACTAATATAAAAAAAATTATGATAAGCTGAACAAGTTTAAGTAATGATTTCGTAATTTGATAGGATGTAATTTTTTTTTTTTTTTTTGCAAAATTCAAAATAAATTTTTTTTTTTTTAAGTTTTCAATCTATGACAATAATCCTCGAAAAGTCACAAAAATATAAAGAATTATGTGTGTGATAAATATTCCAAGATTTGCGGCATAAAAATCTCTATTCATAAAAATATAAAATGATACTTTTTATAGTTTTTAAGTTAATTAACATTAAGTTTATTTAAAATTATAAATCATATAAAAATAAATTGTTAATTTCTGAATTAAATGTCTATGCGTTTTGACTTGCCTACGTTTCGACCCAAGAGTTTTCGACTAGTCTAATAAACCATATCTAGACTACAAATACTATTCTCACAAAAATTTAGTTGTTTATTTACTTACTGAACCTCAATACATATATACACATATATATATACACACATATATATATATATATATATATATATATATATATATATATAATTTTTTTTTTATATTGTTATAGTCTAAAGTTATATCTCTATTAACAGGTACTAAAGAGGATAGCGCCATGCTTACTCCACCACACAGCTCGAGTTCCCCAGAAGCGAGCCCAAGCAGATCAACATCCAGCCCCGACTTCAATCCTCAGGAGCCGGTCTATCAACCTGCAGAGTCTTACGGGTTACTTCTTGCACACTGGCTGAGATGCCATCCTCAACCGCCACCTCCACCTAGGCCTTATTCCAGGCCCAAGAAGCAGTTCATCTGCAAGTTCTGCAACAGGCAGTTCACTAAGTCCTACAACCTTCTGATCCACGAGAGAACGCACACCGACGAGCGACCTTACTCATGCGATATCTGCGGAAAGGCGTTCCGGCGACAAGATCATCTTAGAGATCACAGGTAATTTGATCCAATATTCAAATATTCCAAAGATTTATTACAAAACATATATATACAGGATGAACGGGCCTTACTCCTGGATTGGGTTGGACACAGACAAATAATAAAAATAAACAATATTTCATATTAACATTTTCGCCTTCCTCTTCGAAGAGCGACAGAAGGCTCCTGATTGTTTCTTATCTTTCTTGATATTCCAAATCTATACTTTTACTTTTTTTACGTCATCTTTAAATCAGATCTATAACCCATAATCCAGTACTGTGAAGTCTCTGGATGTTGGAGTATAATCGGATAACCACGACAATGCCATTCAAATTAAATAGACAAAGTTTGCCGATCTCCAGATTGAAAACACCCCAATTTCAGGAATTTTCCTAAATAAAATATTTGTAGTTTACGATGGGATGAAGCTATTTACGAAGTTTCAGGCGGATGTTAATCATTTGATTAAAGAAGTCTGTACCATGGACTTTGGAATTTTGTCCGTTCATCCATACTCACCCCGTATATATGAAAAAAAAAAAGTTATCATTTATGAAAGTAATAATTTAAAATGAGTTATCTCTACTTCATATAAACACGTTTGAGGAAATGAATGAATCATTTGTAGGACTCGTGATTTCGATTTGGTATCAGTAGTTATCAATCGATCCGATTGGTCGTCTCAATTAAAGGTGAATGTTTTTCGAAAATTTACACAGCGATTGTGTTATTTCGATAAGAGATCCTGGGGGTAATTTCGAGAATGAGATTTTAATAAAAACGAGTCTCATTTTAAAATTTTATATAATTTAACTACTATAAGATGAGTAGCTATAGTAACTATATTTTATAGTAGTAACTATAATTGTTATAGTACTTAGTACTAACTAAATACTAAATAAAAAAATAATTTTTTTTTTTTGATGCATTCGAATTATAGCCATTGACGTCAGCTAAAGCATATAATATTGTATACAATATAATATTATAAAGACAGGCTGATGAAGCTTTACAATGACTGTAAAACTAGCAATGTACTTTATAAGTACTTATCACTTTATAATTACTTTATTAGGTTATCTCACTAAAATACATCCCTCCAGTTTAATAGTTAAGTAATTATATACAGCTATTTCTTAAACTTATACTAATACATTATTGTATTTGCTCCTGATTTATTTATTGGCATAGAAAGACTTGGTTTTTAACAGGGGTTGAAAAAGTTCGTTTTAAAAAAAAAACAATGAAAAAATCTTAAAATAAAAGTTCCAAGAAACTTTTTTGTAATAAAGTTGTAGGTTTATAGTAAAAGTTGAAATAGTATTGATTCAATTTCTTAAAAAAAAAAATCCGTTAATTAAAAAATAAACAGTCATTAGGCTTAGATTATGATTATAATTTGTTTTAAATTAATTATACTTGGTTCTAATGTGTCTTTTGTTTGAGTAGCTATGAAAAAAAGTAATTTTTAGTGAAATAACAGAACTTTTAAATAATATTTTTTTAAAAATATATAGCTGCAAGGGAAAAAGGCCTAGTTATAATAGAACTGAAAAACTATCAATAGTTAAAGTAACAGTAAAACTGAAACTTTTAAAAAATAAACGTTTTTTTTTTCTGTTTCAAGCCCTGTATAGAAGCATATTATTGAGAGTATATAATTCACGAATAATTTATGATTTTTTTTTAACCGAACTTAGCTGGTTTGCCCGCTCAACAGTCTTGTTCAAATAGTTCTAACAATGACAAAATCTACTTTTGTTTACAGTAAATTTTGTCTAGTTTACTATGGAGTAATGTTTGATTACTTAAATAAAATATTTTTTTAGTTATCACTTTCTAATCAACAAAACATGTGAATCGCATAAAAAAAAAACTGTGTGTATAGTGAAGATGTTTTCATGAATAAAAAAATAACGGTTATTTATTTTTTTTAACAGGTACATTCACAGCAAAGAGAAGCCTTTCAAGTGCGGGATATGCGGAAAAGGTTTCTGCCAGTCTAGGACCCTCGCCGTCCACAAGATCTTGCACCAGGAGGACTCACCCCATAAGTGTCCAATCTGTGGAAAGACCTTCAACCAGAGGACAAACCTGAAGACCCACCTCCTCAGTCATCAGGAGCAAGGCCGCCCGAAGAGAGGATTCACGATAGACGAGATATTGAGCCGATGAATTCGAACCCGAAGGTTCGAAGCTCAACCCTTTCATCTAGTCAAATCGATCCTTTCTTGCTTTTAAAGTTCCTCTCCTCGAAGCTGTTTTTTTTTTTTTCTATCCCAGTGTTATTTATCTCTGTACCAAAATGGAGGATCTCTTAATGGATGTACTTAATTACTTATAAGTGTTACCACCTCGTTCGGGGCATTAATGATGTATATTTATATTGTATATTTTTTCTTGTAAAAATAGTATATTGTTTGATAGAGTTAATATTATTGTCCAATATTTAAGTAGTTATTAAAAAAAATTAAATGTACAAATTATATTAATAAAATAATAAAAATGAATGACTACAATTTTGTTCAATTTTTATTTATGACTGCTCAAATACAAATGAACGATCATAGTTATCAATAGACAGGTGTACCTAAGACTAATTTCATAAAACTATAGAAATCGATTTTTTTTTCTTTTCAGTTTGTTTATTCAACAATATATGTATATTATTATTTAATTTATTTGTATAATTTACTTTCCTTCTATCTATATTAAATTTATTTTTTTGAAATATCTTACAATTTATTTCATTATAGCCTAAAACCTAGAAATATTAATAAATAAAAAAGTAAAAAAATATGCATGATGGCTTGGAAACTGTTTTACTGAAATAAGTAAAATATAATATTAAAATTATAATCGAATGAAAAATAAAAGTTTCATAAGTCCATTCACTACAACTTTATTGAAGGAGTGCTCATTTAAGCATTTATATGTTTTTGTTTTTTTATCTTTTGCATAAATATACACATACGTAAAGATACACATACAGTATGAGTATGTATATAAATTTAAATGGTACAACTAATGAAGTATTTTATTGTTAAAGATCGGATTGGTTGCTGTGTGGTTTAAAAACATGAAAATATTTACGCAAGAAAAAATAAGCAAAAATTAATGGAAGTTTTTCTAATTCGAATTCAAAACATCAATATAATTTTTATAATAATCTTCATTTTCCCTGTTGACATTTAAACCATACTTTGAAAAATATAAAAACACATACATTGTTCTTTAATTTTCGACAGATATATTTTACATTTAATTAACATTACTTTGAATTTGTAACTATCAGTTTAATAAAAAAAAAAAATCAAATATTCTGTCATAGTATGTCGAAATACTATTCAACCTATAAATTTATATTATATGTTACAATATTTATGAAAATATCTTTATTAAATTCCTTTTTAGACTGTTAAAGTTTAGTGCATGCAGTATCTGATCTGAATTTATTCGATCGTATATACTAATGTAATATAAATGATAAATAATACAATAATTCTGACATTACAACAAATAAACTTGAAAGATACGCCATCCACATCGTTAATTCTTAGCGCAATAAACATTCTTACGGCGATGTTTACAAACAAACTTTCAATTTGTATGCTCTACAGTACTGATTCAGGTTAACTCATTATTTAAAAAATAATCGAATTAAATAATACTGAAACATGAATTTATAAAGTAAACATATTCATCTACATATACATTAGCATAATCTTTAAAGCGAAGGAGACACTTCACTAGTATGAGAATTTTCTCTTTTTTAATTATTATGTTTATAATCAAAGAACATGTTTCATATATTACTATAATATATGATATCTTGATCTCTCTTTGACGAAATGTATGAAATATTTAATATTATACAGGTATTTTAAAACTATATAATCCAAATAAATTTAATTAGGAATAATTAAACCCACAAGAATTCATTCAAACATAAGTAAATTAGTTATAAAATATTTTTGTAGCTGATAAGTAAATAATGTATAAAGGTTCACTCGCCACAATAAGCAAAATAGTGCGGTCTTTAATTTTTTTTACACTACCTTAAGACTTTGAAATATGTCTTTATAACAAAAATAGCATTAATAACAAGGTAAAAACATATTCCGAAACAACCTTATGATTTTTTTTTTAATCTTCATCCACCAATATTCATCATCTTGTATACTTCCTTAAAGCAGCAAAGGAGATATCTCATCCAGCTCCTTTTCAGTCGCCTCCTGGTGGCTATGTCGTTTATAAGTCTGTTTTTTTATCCATGTAGTTTAATATGAAATCGGGAGTAAAGAGCATGTGTTAGTCGACAGTTGATTGTCGTATGTCGGTATGTAAAGTTTTGTTGTTTACGTACCAGGAAGCTGATATTATCAGACTTAAAATTTTGAATTGGAAAAAATCGTATTTTTTTAAATTCATATCTTTTGGTGAATTGAAAATCTGTGAGGCGTATATGCATATGGGTTTGAGTGGGTATATGCCTGTAATTATTTAGTGATTTATTTATTTATTTAGTGAATAATTGAAAACAATAGCGATAAAGAGAGAGAAGTGAGAGAAAGGGAAACTTAATGTTAAATAAAAATAAAAAAAAAAGCATGAACAATGAGAAGAAGGAAAAAGGAAAAAAAAAAAAAAAAATTATAAAGATAAATAAAATAATAAAAATGTATATATATATATTTCTGTTTTACTAATATTAACTAATACTTCTGTATATTTATATATAAGTTCATATATTGTCTTAAGGATAGAAGAGTATGCTGTGTGTATAGCAACCCAATGTAATTGGGCAGCAATCCTTTATATTTTATATTTTATGAAAATAAAGTGTTTCTCTCTTGTCTGTTTTTCTATTTCGACTTATCAAAAAGTGCGTGTAGTGTTTTCAGTCGCTTGTTTAAAGTCTTTTGTTTTTTATTTTTACATTTTAACAAGTGGGCCTTTTTATTTATTTTTTTTAATCAAATTTCATCGCTATGAAATTTTTCGATTTCGAATAACAAGTTTTTTCTCTTGCGACAATTGAATAAATCAAATATATGCCATCTGAACTGTTAAAAATGTGATAAATTTAATTTTAAAAATAATGTTTTTAGCACCCAAGCCCAAAAATGAATCATCAAAAAGGTATTTATTCTCAAAATATTTATATTAGAGTTGATATAAAAATTTCTAAGCGTGAATCTTCCAATAGTTGAAGTTTTAAAAATGATCTGATTGTGAGTAAATAGATTTGCCATTTTAATTGTAGTACATTGTACACATTTGGATACAAATATCTAAAAGATATATTTTTTTTTCTGTTTTCTTTCTCAATACATTATTAATATAAAATCCATTTTTATGGAATATGTCAGAATGCTAAACTTATATTCCTGTATTTATTTAAAGATTAAACTTCCGTTAAGAAATTCCAATGATTCGTTTATGAACCATTTTTAATATTAATGTAAACTCAATTTTAGACAAAAATATTTATTTAAATTATAAAATTCAGTATGAAAACTATCAACTTGAAGTTCTTTATTCTTCTTTATTTTTTTGTAAATATTTTTTATTACTAATTTAAAATGTTAATATTTTCAAATGTTTTAACATTATATTTTTATTAATATGGAATAATACATCATGGAATATAAAATTATTTTGGAAACTCCTTAATTGATAAATTTAAACACTTATATTACCCATTATTTCTCATTATAAAAAATTTCTTAATCAAACAATTTTCTCTTTTTTTAGAAGAAATTGAATTCAAAAGTAAAATCTACAAAAACGTTTTATGAAATATAGGTAATGTTTAAATTAATAGAAATATTTTCATTGGTTACAGAAGAAATATTTATTAACTTACTTAATGATGGTTTTTAATAAAAATATAATTTATACTGAAATTTAAATATACGGTTTTTTCGTATTAATTTACTACCTGAATTGGTATAATTCTTTGTTCCAAAGGTGAAGAATACCAAGTCCATTTCTTTATTTAATACAACTCGTACTTTTTTTTAATCTCATAACTTTGGTTATCTGGTTGCCGGGCAACTCGGGGTGCTGTGCAAACGCGTTAGTCTGTTCGGCCACAACACTTTAGTAGCTAAGAAACAAATTTTAATACGTTAAAGTTCTGAAAAATTGGCGCCCTGAATAAATAAAAATATTTTCCTTTGTGTCCTTTATCTCCTTAGTACAGATTTAATAAAAAAGAAACTAAATTTTAAAGCTGAAAGTTATGGATCATTGCTGAACAGATACAAAATGGACATAATGATATCTACCTCCGGAGTAACGAGTTATAAGCGAAATAATCCTTTACAACGGAGGTAAAGAAGACGATGTTCATTTTTGTATTTGCTGAGGAGAGCCAACATTCCATAACTTTGCGCTATTAAAAATAGTTTCTTAGCTACTAAATCTATACTCCGAACGTAAACGACATCATGTCACATTTTTGTATTCTTTAGGGAGCCAAGTTTTCAGAACTTTGACCCATTAAAATTTGTTTCTTAGCTACTAAATTATTTAATTAAAAAAATTGGAAACTGCGTTGTTTGTCATCGGAGTACAGAATTAAAAAAAAATAAATGATCTTAAATATTATTATTATCTATAATAAATAGTCACATAATAAAGCATGCAAAATAGTCAATAATAAATTTCAATGAAATTATTACCCAGAAATATAAAGTTTTTATTGTTGAGTTAATATTTTTTATTAAGATATAAACTTCATGTAAGTATAATAAAGTAAGTATATAAATAGTAACATATTTTTAACTACTAAAAATGTTAGAGAAATAATTAATAATTTAATTGTGATAACCATTAAGTTAATTCATTGATAGTTAGGTGAGATAAAAATTAATTATAAATCATTATAATTTTCTCTAATTTTTGTTAATACTTTTTTTATGATCCTTTCCATTGAAATAATAATTTTATTTTTGTAAACTGATATTTAGATGTGCTTGAATTTGCCGATGGAATAGTGAAAGTGTGGGTGAGATTAACCGGGGCTGCTTTGACACGTGGAGCGCTCTTTCGGAGAACTTACTAACCGCCAGTCATCAAGTCGGCAACAAAGGACGTTTCAAAAAAATATTTAAAATTATTAAATATTTTATTAAAATATAAATAAAACTAAAGTTTTTTTTTCTCTTTCAATTGAGTTATTAATAATAGAATAATTTTTAAATAGTTTTACACGTCTCGTACACTTTTGTATCTTTTAAACTCCAGCTTATCATATATATATATATATATATATATATATATATATATATATATATATATAATATAAAAAAATTATCTTTTTTATTTGTTATTAAAAATTATGTTCATTAAAATAATTCAAGCAATATTCAGGTTTCTTTATTTTGAACGTAAATATTTCGACGTTTGTCACTAATATTTGGTTTGTCACTTATAAATACCTGTAATAGAGATACCTTGTATAGTATGCATGTGTTTTAGTTATTATTTTGATTAGTTTAGTTCTTTTGTTTATATAGAATAGAATAGAAAATAGAACTTTATTCTGGGACTAAGTCCCCTTAGAATAACAAAGATGAATTAATACAAAATAAAATACAAATCTGGCTAAAAACTAACTTATAAAAATTCTAACATTATATAAATTATTTAAAAAGTAGTATGTAATTACTAAGAAATAAACAAAAA